AAACTATTAGATCCTTTTGTAATGTTTTGGGCAGAAACATTGAATGAAGGATCTCTGCTTAGTGGACCTATATCAATAAACTCAGACCAATCCAACTTTACTCCTTGCACCATTATCTCACACCCATAATAGCCATTTCAACATATACTCCCTAGATTTCTGCATGTATATATTAGAAAACCCAAGCAGTTCTTTTAGAGTGTACCATACTTCCTCATGGGTCACACTTTGTATTTCACCTCTTAGGGCTTGCTGGGACTTAAGTCTTGTTATACATCTAGAAGCAAAAATGGGTGGTGGAGGTAGGTCCTGGGGACATTCAAAATGTCTTGTGAGGCAATGTTCCAGGCAATGTCCCAGGAACCACTCCAAGGAATGCCTCAGACAAGGACTCTTCAGATGCAGTTGGGTTAATCTCATCAGATGGAGGTGGAAGGGATAGTTTTACTGGGGAATGTGGCTTAGCAGATAAAGCTGGTCTAACCTCTTCAGAAGGTAGTAAGAGGGCTGGATCTTTTGGCAGGGTGATTCAACAGAATTTATAGGCTCAATGTCCCCAGCCTCAAGATTATCTTGCCCATATGTCCCCACCCCACATTTAAGGATCTATTTCTTCTCAAGGAGCTCTGGTTATATAGTTGTTAAAGCATTCAGCTGCTAACTGAAAGTTCAGTGGTTCAAACCCAGGAGCTGCTCTACAGAAGATGAGGCAGTCTGCTTCCGTAAAGATTTGCAGCCTTAGAAACACTATGGGGCAATTCTACTCTGTCTTAAAGCATCGCTATGAGTTGGAATCTTCCCAAGCAATGCCCTCACTTTAACCTCAGACATCATTCAAGGTTGGGAACTCAATTGGCATTGTAATTCAGCCATTCTTAGGATAAAACTCCAAGTTTGGTTTTCAGTAATATCAGCTGTGTTACCACAAGAAATAAGACTTTCTTTCATGGCATAAATAGCAACTTACAGGTCTTTTATGCAGCACTTGAGCTGGGACTCAGAAGCCCTGAGCTCATCCTTTTGTTTCTCCATTTTGTCTAGTGAAAATAGAACCAAACAGCCAGCTTTATTATACCTCTCAGTTTTACAAAAATGTTGAAAGATGTCAAATAACCCAGCTTTGTCTCTCACAAATATTTTATCCAATGGTGGTGATATTTTATGTATTTCTATTGCTACATCATGTCATGGATTAACAGTGCCCTCTTTACTACTGGAAACAGACTCACTAATGCTTTTAAGTCTAGCTGAACTTGAGCACCAATTCAGAAAACTCATTCTTAATATTTTGTTCCTCTAGGAACCAGTCTTGGTACCAAATATCTTAGTCTGGGTTATCTAGAGAAGCAAAACTTGTGAAGTATATTTAGATATGTATGTTGTTGTTATGTGCCGTCAAGTCGGCCCCGACTCATAGCGACCCCTCCTTGGGTTTCCGAGGCAGTATCACTACGGAAGTAGGATTGCCCAACCTTCCTTCTGAGGAGTGGCTGGTGGGTTTGAACCACCAGCCTTCTGGTTAGTAGTCAAGTGCCTTAGCCACTATGCTACCAGAGCTCCTTAGATATATATATAGAGAGATATTTACTTCAAGGAAATGGCTCACACAATTGTGAGAAAATGGTTCATGCAATTATGGAGGTTGGCAAATCCCAAGTCTGTAGGTGAGACAACAGGCTGAAGACCTCTGCTGACAAACCCCAAATCTCTAGGTCAAGTGGCAGGCACATAGGGTTGCAAGAGTTGGCAGAATCTAGAAAAAAGAAAGAGCGTTGGCAGAGCATCCATTTATATACTAGAGGCAGGCCACACCTTAAAGGAAACTCCACTTAAAACTGATTGGCTACTCATATCAAATCACAAAATGGAATTTTATTACATAATATGTGCCATACCACTGATAATCATAGCTTAGCAAAGTGGACATGGAAAATTAACCATTCCCATGCCTATGTGTCTCCCTGGGTGCTTCCCTAGCACTTTGTGCTTCACAATCTCAGCTCTGATTGCCTGTCATTAAATTGCCCAATTTTCTCTCTGTGTACCACCCTAAGCCCAATGGAGACAGTGACAGTTGACTGCCTTGTTGTTGTCGTTATGTGCTGTCGAGTCAGACCCAACTCATAACAACCCCTCCTTGGGTTTCTGAGACAGTATCACTTCGGAAGTAGATTGCCCCATCTTCTTTCCGAGGAGTGGCTGATGGGTTTGAACCTCCAGCCTTCTGGTTAGCAGTCAAGTGCCTTAGGCACTATGTTACCAGAGCGGTGACTGCCTTATTCACTCTTTATCCCCATCATTCAGTAACAGAGAGGCACATTCAAAAATAGTTGTGTAGTAAGTGAAATAAATGTGAAAAATGCATGTTAGATGTTTGAAAAAGAGCTAGGATGGTACTTTACAGTCTTTATAGGCAATGTCCATGTGCAGACTATGCTACATTTTGTGTTGGCTGTTACATTTTACATTCTCTGAAAGTGAAACAGGCAAGTCATTTTTGCCACCTGTAACAAACATTTGTTCTGTGGAACTCTTCTCAGTGTTATGGAATTTGAGAAACTGTCTCTAACAGAGTCTCCAAAATCAAAGGAGGCAAAAATATTTGTCTATGGTCTTCAGACAAAACATCTCCTTAGAAAATTTTTCTGTGAATCCAAGAGCCAGCAAAATGATGAGGGCAAAATGATTACAGAACAATATACAATATGTATCATATAATCTATTTATGTAAAATTATATAAATCTGTACCTACGTATAGGAGCTCTGGTGGCATAGTGCCTAAGGCATTTGACTGCCAACCAGAAAGCTGGCAGTTCAAACCCACTAGTCACTCCACGGAAGGAAAATTGGGCAATCTACTTCTGTAGTGATACCACCTCGGAAACCCAAGGAAAGGTTGCTATGAGTCGGATCCAACTGGACAGCAGTGAGTTTGGTGTTTGATACCTATATATATAGAAACCAAAAAACCAAACTCACCACCATTGAGTCAATTTTGACTCATAGTGACCCCACTGGGTCCCCAAGGCTGTAAATCTTTCTGGGGGTAGATTGCTTCATTGTCCTCCTGCAAAGCAGCTGGTGGGTTTGAACTACCGACCTTCTGGTTAGCAGCCAAATGCCTTGCCCACTATGCCACCAGAGCTCTTTATGAATGTATATATGACCTCTCCTTGGGTTTCCTAGGTGGTGAGGCAGTATCACTACGGAAGTAGATTGCCCAACCTACCTTCCAAGAATTGGCTGGTGGGTTTGAATCACCAGCCTTCTGGTTAGCAGTCAAATGCCTTAGGCACTATGCCACCAGAGCTCCCTATGAATATATGTAATATGTGAAAAATAATAGTGCTCATCAGAATGTCAGTGATGGTTAAATCTGGGCTGGGAATATATGTGGCTTTTACTCTATTATTTGTATTTGTATTTTTAATTTTTATAATGAATGGCTATCATTTTTATAAGAAGCAATCCAATTATTCTTCAAATAAAACGTTTTCCTCCAAAATTAACTCCTTTTGGCCTTAATTATATTTAACTTTCACTGTGTGTTTTCTCCTTTTCTTTCCCAGTAACCTCTTCTCTGTGGAAATATTAAAACAATGACCATCATACTATCATGACTCCTTAGTCGTGTGGTCAGTTTCAGAATCCTATTTCTTGATTGGGGCGAATGTAATTAAACAAAGTAAACAGGCATTTTTTTTTTTTTTTTTCAAATGAAAATCAATGGTATAGCTCTGTTTTCCCTTAAGTTTAGTAGATGTATGTGTCATTTCTGCTTGGTGCCCTACCTACTATATATCAATCACTGGATTCATTTGGTACAGATCTATTTCTCTCATTAGTCTCTAATTTCCTGTCATCTTTGTATTGCACATTTCATTGAACAAAGTGGTGCTCAACAAATACTTGTTAACAAGTATTTGTTAAAACAGAAGCAATCATTATCCCAATAGGCTTTGTATGAGGAAAGGAGAAAAGAAAGGAGTGAGGGAGGGAGGGAAGGAGGATGGTAGTAAGATAGGTAAATTTTAAAGTTGGTGGTTAAGGTGGGAGGGAGTTTAGAACAGAAGATCAGGGCACCAACTCTATTCCCTTTGGTTTTGTATCTCTCTGCCCGTCATCTTTTTCAATAACTATTGGAAGGACCGTCACTTTTCATTTCTCTGGATCCATTTCCATTTGTGCTTCTGTAGACTGCCGGCATCTTTCCCTCCTTTTCTTGGCCTGCCTTTGTCACCTCAGTGATGTCAGTGTCATTTGAAGGAGTTGTTGCACAGGAGCCAGCCTCACACACCTGCAACCTGAAAGACAGACCCATAAACACTTCAAGGAACCTGATAAATAGGCCCAAAGTGATAGGGTGGCTAAAAATACAAAGGCAGATAGATAATAAAGACATGGCTAGTGACACTGCAGAAGAAAGTGGGGGAAAGGCAGCGATGTCATCAGTTTTGGGGTGGGGGGTGGGGCAGGCAGCAACCACCACTTCATCAGATATTGAAGTGGGTTTGCATGTTCACCTGGTTTCCTTATTATCTCAGGCGATTAAAAGAAACTCTTGAGCATGGCACAGGAATGTACATATTTCAGCCTCTGAATAAGTAGACCCAGCTTCGGTTGTGGGCAGGGCCACCAAGATTCTAACCATCCTTTTATGCTCCCGGTTCTGTTTGCCATTTTGTGACATCACCCCTTAGAGATCCTATTTCAGTTCCCAAGATTCAGAGAGCTCACGTGCCCAGTCCCTTTACAGAATACATCTTGCAGGTGGTTTGGTCTGAGCTCTCAAAAGATCAGAAGCAAAGCTTTTCACTGCTGGTCCTGGAACCCGAGCCGAGGTCCATCTTGATGTCCCCAGATCACGGCTCATGGGCTTTGAGGTCCTAGTTTTCCATGAACTCTTGAGCAGCTTCAATGATCTGTATCCGGGGCGTCCCGGCTGTTGTTTGTAGAGTGCCCTTGGAGTCCATCGTAGCCTCTCTTCTCCCCACAGGCAATGGACACCACAGGCCCTTTGGCTCCGGGACTGTCAGAGCTGTTGGGCCAGAGCACACACTCAGGCACCCGCGCTCCCCGAGCCAGAGACAAGAACATGCTGAGCAGCACTGCGGCAGCTCAGACCTTAGCCAGTGTCATTAAGCCTTGCTACGGTCCCCATGGGCGCCAGAAGTTTCTGGTGACTGCTAGGGGAGAGACAGTCTGCACCGGCTACGCCGCGGCCATTCTCAGGGCTTTAGAGCTGGAACATCCCGCGGCCTGGCTCCTCCGTGAGGCAGCTCAGACCCAAGCTGAGAGTAGGGGTGACGGCACAGCCTTTGTGGTCCTCCTGGCAGGAGCCCTACTTGAGCAGGCAGAGCTTCTGCTGAGGGCCGGCCTGCCGCGCCCGCAGCTCCGCGAGGCCTATGCAACAGCTGCGGCAGAGGTCCTTGCCACATTGCCCTCCTTGGTGGTCCGATCCCTGGGTCCTTTGGAGCACCCCTATTGGGCCCTCTACACTGTGATGAATACCAACACTCTGTCCCAGACGGACTTCTTGACCAAGTTAGTGGACCGGGCATGTTGGGCTACCAGGGATCTGGATGGGACCTTTAACCCGGAGCGCATTGGTGTGTGTACACTGCGCGGAGCCACACTGGAGGACTCTTGTCTGCTCCCAGGACTGGCAGTGGCCGGGAAGCCCTGTGGACAAGTAACCAGGGTATTAACAGGTGCCAGGGTAGCTCTGTTTGCCTGCCCCTTTGGCCCAGCCAGTCCAAATGCACGAGTAACTGCTCGTCTCTCTAGCACTGATGAACTAACTAAATTTCGGAAAGGAAGAGAGCAATTGGTAGAAAACCAGGTAACCCAGCTGGTAGCTATGAATATTAATGTGGCAGTAGTGTTGGGGGAAATAGATGAGAAGACCCTAACACGAGCAGATAGGTCTGGCATCATGGTGGTTCAGACCAAATCTCGAAAGGAAATGGGATACCTGAGTGAGGTGTTGGGCACACCTTTGCTGCCTTACCTGATTCCTCCTCTGGTGCCAGGGAAGTGCCAGAAGGTCTATGGACGGGAACTGGGAGAAAGTTTGGCTGTAGTATTTGAATGGGATAGTCCAAGCACACCTGCCCTGACTTTGGTCCTCAGGGGGGCCACGACTGAGGGGCTACAGGGTGCAAAGCAGGCTGCCTACCAGGGAATTGATACCTATTTCCAGCTGTGCCAAGATCCCAGACTCCTTCCAGGGGCTGGGGCCACAGAGATAGCTCTGGCTACAATCCTTTCTGAAAAAGGACGCAAACTGGAAGGGCCTAGTGGTCCTGTATTCCTAGCCTTTGCCAAGGCCCTAAGGTCTCTTCCTGAAGCCTTGGCAGAGAATGCAGGATTAGCTGTAGCCGATGTGATGGCAGAAATACATGGAGCTCACCAAGCTGGGAATTTCCTCACAGGAGTGGGAGAAGAAGGGATAATAAATGTGTCTCAGGAGCAGGTGTGGGACACCCTCATGGCCAAAGCGCAAGGAATTCGAGTGGTGACTGATGTAGTGCTACAGCTTGTAACTGTAGATGAAGTTGTAGTGGCCAAGAAAAGTCCCGCACAACAGCAGGACTTGAATTCTGATTTTAAAAAGGCAAAGAAATGCCCATCTCTTATGAGAAAAAACATCTTTGGAATGAATAAGTAGCGACAGCCTCAATAAAGTGGGGATTGCTAAAGAAGGCACAATCACCTCCAAAATGAATGTTAGCCTGATTTATTTCCTCCATATTTGGTACTTTAGAGTCAATGTCTTCAGGTGAAATACAACCTAAAAGAACATGAAAGTTCTTTTCATTGATTATCTTTCTTTTCAGATTCTTGTCTTTTATTTCCTGTCTCTCCCCATCAGATTCTGTCCCTTTCCTAAAATAAGAGTTTGACTTATTAAGGATTTTTTAATTGAGTGCTTGGGTTTTGGGGATGCAAAGAAAGTGCAGTAATCTTTTTCCAACCATCCAAAGAACATCCCAGCATGATTTTCTAATGTGCATAAATCTATGTCTAGGTGTCACCTTAGCCAACAGATTACAAAAGTAATCTATTCTGTAATCTATACAGAAGCCAGGCATTCTGGTTGTGATTATATGGAGAAAGAAAGGAACATCATTCGAAGGCCAAATAAAGAAGAAAGGAAAAGGAAAGGAGCTGGCAGGCAGAAAAACAAGTTTTTGTTTTGCTAATTATCTTTGGAATAAATAACAGAAAATAAGGAATGAATGTGCACCTTGGAACTGTATGTAGGTTCAGAGAGAGCTAGAGAGCACCTGACATAAGGATATGAGGGTCACAGTTGGATATCTCTGGGCATTAAAGAGGGGATGTAAGCAGAACTGAATAGGTTCAGCACATATTACCCGAAGTTTTTACACTCCAACCCTCCAAGTTATTCTGCCTCTTGGGAAGAGAGCAGAATGTAGCAGGTAAATCTAGGATATGGAAGTTGAAATCTCTTAGAATCATTAAAAAAAAAAAGCTTTAAATATTTGGAAAGAGAGCTAGACACATGAAACAAATGTATCAGAAGCAACAAAGCAAAACAAAATTGTAAGGTATTGAAACTGTGGGGAAGTGAAATCCTGAAAACTTTTTCTAATCAAGAAAGGACAATAAATTTAAATGTATCAGCTATTTTCATTATTACTAATTTATAAAACATTGTTTTTATGTCTATACTTGTCTTCATCCTTATATGTTTAGTGAACATAACTGTTGTTAGATTCCTGTTGAGTTGGCCCTCCAACTCTTGGGGACCCATGCCCAAAGGAACACTACTCAGTCCTGTACCATTTCCATGATTGGCTGAGACTCCTATCATTGTGATCCATAGTGTTTTTACTGGCTGATTTTTCAGAAGTAGCTCACCAACTCTTTCTTCCTAGTCCATCTTAGTCTGGAAGCTCCACTGGAACCTGGTCATCATAGGAACACACAAGCCTCCACTGACAGATGAGTGGTAAGCTATATATGAGGTACACTGGCCAGGAATTGAACCTGGGTCTTCCACATGGAAGGTGAGAATTCTACCACTGCATCACGCTGGAACTTAACTAAGTCCTTTCCAATTACTCTCCTGCCTTCAATTTCACTATTGTTCTCATAAAGTTTTAAATTCCATAATAGTAGCATGATACATGTATACAAAAGCTGGACATTGAATAAGGAAGACCAAAAGAATGGATGTATTTGAATTACAATGTTGGCAAAAAATACTGAATATACCATGGAGAGACAGAAGAATGAACAAATCTGTCTTGGAAAAAGCATAGCCAGAAATTTTCCTTAGAAGCTAAGAGGGCAAGATTTTGGCTCAGGAATATTATTATTCACCCATAAAAAGCAATGCAATGCCAATAAATCTACAACATGGATAAATTCTGAAAATATTTAATAAAAGAAGCCAGACACAAAAGGCCACATATTGCATGATTCTCTTTATAAGAAATGTCCTGAGAAAGCAAAATCACAAGAAAATATATCAGTAGTCACCAGGGGCTTGGAAGGAACATGGAGTGGCTAATTAATGGTTTCACAATCTCCCTTTGGAAGTGTTAAAAATGTTTTGGAAGTAAATAAAGATAGTGGTTGAATGACACTGTGAACATATTCAATGCCACTGAATTGTACACTTTAAAAAGGTTTAATTTATGTGAATTTCATTCCAATTTTTTAAAATGTTAGAGATTGAAAAAGTTTTTTTAAAAAAGGCTTTGTCTCACATGCTTTGGACATGTTATCAGGAGGGACCAGTTGTTGGAGAAGGACATCATGCTTGGTAAAGTAGAAGGTCAGAGAAAAAGTGGAAGCCCCTTAATGAGATGGATTGACACAATGGCTGCAACAATGGGCTCAAAATAGCCAACAATTGTTGAGGATGGCACAGGACTGTGCAGTGCTTCATTCTGTTGAGTCAGAACCTACACATCAACACCTGTCTTAGTTATTTAGTGTTGATAAAAATATAAATACTACAAGTAGATGACTTTAGCAAACAGAAATTTATTCCATCACAGTTTAGGAAGTTAGAAATCCCAAATCAGGGTGCCAGCTTTAGAGGAAGGCATTGTCTCTCTGTTGGTTTGGGGGGATGGTTCTTGTCCCCTTTAAACACATGTGGACCCAACATTCCTCGGAGAGCTCTATGCGTCTTGGCATCAATATTCCCCTGGGTCTAGGAGGTGCTCAGCATGAGAATCCTGGTCCAAAGGACATGCTGTGCTACAGCTCTTCTTTCTTGTTGGTAAGGTCACTCTTTCTTTGCTCCAATCTCTCTCCTTTTCTCTCTTGCAAGATAAAAGGTTGTGCCAGCCACATCCCAGGGAAATTCCCCTTACACTGGCATCAGTGCTATGACCAGAGTAAGAGTGTTGCATTCGGCCCTAATCCCCTTACAATTTATTGACTGATCACATCATGAGGGATGATTACATCATTACATAACTGCCAGTCCACTAAGAATCATAGCCCAGCCAAGCTGACACATATTTTCTGGAAACATAATTCAATCCATGAGAAAAACCCAAAAACTCACTGCTGTCAAGTCGGATCTGACTCATAGTGACCCCTCCTTGGGTTTATGAGGTGGTATCACTACGGAAGTAGATTACCCAATCTTCCTTCTGAGGCATGAGAGCACTCAACAATAACAACAAAGTGATAATACAAATAGTTAATTTTAAAAAGCAATTCAAAAGCACTTTATATAATTTTTACTTAATCCTCAAAACAAATATATGAGAAAGAAACCTAACTATCTCTTAGTTGCAGGAGATACAAGTGAGCTTCAGAAAAGTTTATTATCTAAAATTACATAGTAAATAAAAGAAGGAAACCACTTTCTTTTCCACTGTTTTATTACACCAACGATATTGCAGATGTCTGAATTTTTACAGTTAGTGTCTTTTTAATCGACAAAATGTCACATTTTTGTAAAGAAAGAAAGATGGCTCCTTCTCACATAGAACATTCTAGTTATGGATCTAAACATAAGTAGACCAAATAATGTAATATAGAATATTTAAAATGCCCTACCTTTGATACACAGGGACTTTTTGATACTTTATGTTGGGAGAAATCACATATGACATTTCATTACCATTTCCCTCCCTCCTAGACAGAGGTGCACGTGGGCACACATGCACACACACACACAGAAAATTGTATAATATAAAAGCAAGTTAAAATTAACATTAAGAGCAGCTTTACGGGCGACAAAAAAAGTAGCAGATACAAATTTAATAGGCTTATTTAAGAGCTTTAAAGCTAGAAACCCCTGACTTAAACTTGAAACTTGTTGAGAAATAGAGAAATCAAAGTATTTTATGGCCATATCCTTGGGGGAAATTCAAGAGCTTCTTCTACAAAGATCCCTTGTTCTCATCCTTCCCAAGAATGGTTGAAGGTATCCTTCAAACATATCTACTTGAGTTAACCAGAGTTAGTTTTCCCTTTTTGTAACCTAAAGAACATTGACTGATCAAGAAGGGAAAAAAATGTCATACAATTAAGGTGATTACGACAGCTCGAGCAATGTGCTTAGGGAAGAGGACCAGAATAGAGAGTTAATTATAAACTGAAAGTGTTTGGAATATTGGGTTTCTATTACCATCAGGTGAGGGTCATCTCTCTTGCAGCCTGCCTTCTAAGCATTTGCTATTCAAAACGTGTTCCATGAACCAAACCCCAAAAAACCAAGTGGCGATTCACAGATGGCGGACTAGGCAGAAAGACTGCACAGACACTCTTCAACACAGAAAAGGGAAACCAATTAACACAGACACAGAAGATAATCCTGGACCCTGAGCCTTGAAGGGAAGGATATAGAAGTGGAGTAAACCCCAACTAGCAGAAGAATTTGCGTGAAAATACCAAACAAGTAGACAGACGGAGCCTCGATCTGGCAGCATACCTGAGCGATCCTGACAGCACAGACAGCTTGGAGATTCCTGAGTGGTGGCAGGACCTAAGAATTAACCAAAAAATCAGCCCTGCTAGCCAGAGACTGTGTGAAGGACTGTGCACAGTGGATGGGGAATAAATGGAGAAGGTGAAGAGAAAGGCGGGCTGAGCTGTGGACTTTTGCTTGTCTGGAGGTTGCTGCCATTTTGAAGCTTTAAAAGTGGCTTGATATTTTGGATATTTAAAGAGACAGTGCTCTAGCAGATTCCTAGGGCTTAAGAACAGGTTCTGCTTTCCAGCAACCCCAAGGACACTCCAGACCCACAAGACTGATAAGTTTTTTGATGGTTATTCAATTGTAATTTGTCTCTAACTGAGTAGGAGACAAAAACAGTCCCCATAAGACACAACTACATCCACACCTCCTACAACTTCACTTACTGAGCGAGAGCCACTACCTCCTCCTCCACCAACTGGCCAATGACAAAAAACCACCAAGAAGAGCCTGAATCATCCTTGGCTGCTCTTCACAAACAGTTAACAGAGATATAAATACAACAACGCCATGATGCCTCGGAGACAACAGATCATCACAGTCCATACAAAGAAGCAGGATAAAGTGGTAGAAACAAGGGAACAGGATACAGACCCAGAACACATCCCTGAGGAAGCAGCAGCATTGGAACTCTCTGATAAGGAATTCAAAAGAATTA